GGCCCACGGGGAAGAGCCCGAAGGGTCCTCAGCGTCCACGGCCCAGGCCCTTCGTTTGTCCCCTAACTCTCCACATGATGAGTGGGGGGCTCCTGCCTCGGCAAGCTCAGGGCTAAAAGCTGGGAACCCTCAACACTTCCCTAGGCGGCAAGGCCAGCAATGTGCCTAACCCACCTCCAAGAGGGGACACATTACAGTGGTTGGCTCGTTTACATCATTCCCAGAACGGACGTGGTATCATGTTAAACCCGAAAGGGTGGGGTTTGATAAACCATTTAAACCAGACGTTCAGTCCCGGGAGGGCGTGAGCTTTGACGAAGGCGAGAGGGGTGCTGGAGCTGGGGCAGCGCCTGCGGGAAAACCCAAGCCCTTAGCTCACCTTAGCCGCCCCTCCTCCTGCCGCCCCCCATCGCCCCCTCAGCTTCCGCTTTCCTCCCTAAACGTCCAGGGCCTTGAGGGACAGAGCCAAGCGTAGGGCGACTTTGAACGTGAGACAAGAAGGAATTTTCATTCCTCAGGAGCCGGAGGCTGGGACCCGGCGCCAGCACCAAGCGTAGCAGCTTCCAAAGGTCGTGTTGCAGCCGAGCTCCTTGTAGCTCCCCGGTTTCCTGGTTACGTGCGTGCCAGCAAAAACCAAAACCTCCGCCCGGGACTTCCGCTTCCCCAAAGGGCCTAAACAGGTGACCACGACAGCATGAAACGTGTCGAACTCAGCGCGCCTCATGGCGGCCGCTGAAGCCCAACCGCCCGGAATCCTGTCCCTCACGACGCACGCGCACAGGGGCTGCGGGGAGCGGCTCGGGGCCCTGCCCCAAGACGGGCGGTCCTGACGCCTCACGCTGGGCCAATCAGCTGGCAGACCCGCGCTGCCTCCTCCTCCTTTCTCCCCGCCAGCCTTGCTGGGTTCCCGGTTGCACGTGTCAGTGTTTGTGTACGTGCGGCTGCAGCTGGGCGGAGAAACGCCGGCAGCCCAGGGTTGGGCTGCTGGGGCGCAGCCAGAGCTGTGGCGCGGCGGGGAGGGGCCGGCCCGCTGGCCCTGGGGATCTTTAAATTCTCCTGCTCTTGGGCGTCTTGTGCTCTCTTACCTGTTTGTCTGCAGCCAGCGCCTCACCGCTCTGCTCTCCCAAGCATTCCAGTCCTCTACTTTAGGTGGGAGATGCTGTTGCTCGATTGCAACCCCGAGGTGAGACTCAGGCTGCTTTTGCCTTGCAGGCTTAAGTCTTCTAGGGAGGGCTAGCTAGGGTGATGGCTTACTGACCACTTGGCGTTGCCAAGTCAAGCCCCTTCAGAGTTGGAAGGTTTTTGGAGTGGAGGAAGATGTTCAATCCAGGGAGGGCATGAGCCTTGACAAAGGCGAGGGCGGTGCTGGAGCTGTTCTTTTCTCGCAGGTGGATAGTCTGAGGCATCTACTGGAGACCGGGGCCTCCGTCAACGCACCCCCAGATCCCTGCGAGCAGTCGCCTGTCCACTTGGCCGCAGGTGGCGGCCTTGCTTGCTTTCTTCTCTGGCAGCTGCAAACCGGCGCTGACCTCAACCAACAGGTAACTAGGTAACTGATTGTTGCCGTGTGCAACTCTCCCCCTCCACCCCAAATCCACACAAACACTTCTTAGACGCCGAGATATTCAGTCGTTTCAATTATTAGAAACATGACTGTCGCAGCGATGTCCAATAGAAATATGTGAGACACGTATGTTAAGATTTTCTAGTAGCCACATTAGTGAAGTAAAACGAAACATGAAAATTTTAGTAACCTAACCCAATTAATCCAAAATATCATTTCATATGTAATCAATATAAAACATTACTGATAGATATTTTTCATTTTCTTTTCATGTGTCTTCTCCATCTGCTGTGTATTTTACATTTACAGCACATTTCAATTCAGACTAGCCACATTTCAGGTGCTCATTAGCTGGATATATGGTTGCTGGCTACTACATGGGACAGCATTTCCAAGGTCTACAGTTCATTTCCAAAGGAACAATTCCTCCATTACCAAATTAAAAGTCTCAAGATAGCAATACTTGTGAGGCATACTCACAACCAATACAATTCCTTACAGAACTTTCTTAGGGTAGTTTGCATCTTCACTGAATACTAAAGTATGGTGAATTTTAAATTGTAATTTTTTTACTTCTGTAGGATTTTTTGCTTTTATTCACTTAAAACAATGTATGTTTGTAGCTGTGGCTGCACATATTTTTATTAATGACAACTTTGTATTTAATAGGGCACCAAGTGAATTTTATTTAAAAAAAAGAATTAAAAAATTTGGTCCAGTACAATGCATTTCTAACCCCGCTTCCTCAAATAGCTTCCTCAAACAATAGACTTCACCCACCAACTTCCACTAGTGTTTCGGGGAGAGACTAAAATGTGCTGTTTTGTCTGTAAGGATGTTTTTGGAGAAGCTCCACTACACAAGGCAGCAAAAGTTGGAAGCATGGAATGCCTCAGCCTGCTTGTAGCCAGTGACGCCCAAATTGAGTAAGTATGAAATCAGTGGCTTCAAATTTTGTATTTTCTTGGATTAAACTAATCAGACTCCTACAGCTTAATTACATGATGCTTGCCGTTGATAATGTTAACGTTTAAATGTTAACTTAGGCTGTTAATGACATCTAATACTATGTATTCAATTTGAATAAATAAAAAATGGATCCTAAGCAATCAGATACAGTTCCATTCATCTGTCATGGCAGTGTTACATCTTAGTTTTGGTTTAGAAAAGCCATTCTAAAGAAGTTCTCACTGACTTCCTTTGCATACTTAACTCATTGTAGTGAACAAAGAATACTCTTTCATTCGTGCAAAAATAAAATGCCCACTCTGTGCTGTACTCTGTGCTAGCCATTGAGGATAAATAGTGAGCAAAAATGGAATTCCTCTATGCTTCCTTTACCTCTTCTATTCTGCAACCAACATTTGTATGAGCCCAAAGCGCCTTTGTTAGGAAGATATAAAAAAAGGCTAAACAGTTGTCAACTTTTACTTAACTAATTTTTTGTCTCAAATTCAGTTTATGTAATAAGAATGGGCAAACAGCTGAAGATCTTGCTTGGTCATGTGGATTTCCAGAATGTGGCAAGTTTCTTACAACAATTAAATGTATGCAGACAATAAAACCAAGTGAACAATTCAATAAAGATCATTGTGTTCCAGTGCTCAGACAGAAACGAAGTTTTGGAAGTAAAGAAGATACAAATGGGAAAAGGAAGTGTTGGTAAGGAATTCATAGTTTCTTCTTTCTTCCTCCCTCATGGATCTCTTAATTAGCACAGAATTTATTGTTTCGTTTAAATATTGGCAGTCTTATTTCTAGTATAACTTTTCATTCTCATTAACACATTTTAATACTGGTTGTAGTAACTACTACTAGATTCTAGAGACCAAAAATTGTCCTGCATGGTGGAAGATTGGGAAGGAAACCTTTTTAAAGTTTTTAATGTTAATATGTTTTTTAACAACAGATGTCGTATTGGTTATGAAGAGGTGTGGAGAAGGTCTTCACTTCATGCAGATCTACTGCTCAGCTACAAGCTATGGCTTTTGGCTCATCAAGTGTGTCTAAACACCTTCTAAGAAGGAGGAAAACTTTCTTCTAAGTGAAGATAACATTCAAGAATACATGTATTTATATGCCTGTAACATTCTGGTTGTGCATGCTTTGTCTTTTAATTTATTAAAGGAGTGTCTACGGAATAAATTCTTTTCTTTAATATTTACAACCTTTACAAAAATATCATAGAAACAATCAAACTACACCCAGGATTTAATTTGAAATTAAATTTATTCTTTATCAACAAATTTATAAAGTACAACTTTACTACAGTCTTTGAGTCCAAGATATTTTAAATAGTATTTGGTCGCTGAGGAAGACATAAGTTATAGTAAGCATCGCTGTTCCAAAAGTCTGGACCCTTCCATCCACACCAGCCCTAGATTTGGGAGAAGGGAAAGGAAAACCTTTTACAAAGTTATAGGACTACATGATTGAAACTGTAACATTTTACAATCCTGCTCTGTCAGTAGGGTCTTGGAATAAGGTTCTAAATACCTATATAATTCAAATATTTGAGTTCCTGTAAAGCACAGAAAAGTAGCTTATTTGGTTCTATTTCAGACAGAATTAAAAAAATTTTAATTCTATGATATTTAATCATAGGAATCATTAAAAATGAAAAGCTTCATTATGGTACTGTTACTCAATACCACATTTTATTGATTTTAAGATGCATAGTTTTATAATTCTGGCAGTCGATGGCATGTGATAGTTTAACTGGCATCTGTCCATAACAAGACTGTACAGACAGTGAAAAAGACTGAACTAGAAAGTGGGCCTCCCCAGCCACCAAATCGGCCATTGCCTTGATCCTGATTTCCCAGCAGTGGCATCTCAGCAGTGATACGTGGCAGTGAGAAATCTGAGATTGCCCTTGGAGTTGCATTCTATGTCTTTTGTTTTCCTCAGGCTGTAATCATGCCACTTTCCAATTTTATGTCAGTATTAATCCTTTTCCCCAGCAGAGAAAATTGCTTTCAAACAAAATCTCATTGTGAATACAGAAGTTTATCAAATTTCTTCTAAGGCCATTGATTTATCAATATTTTCTTAAAGACCCAGCTCACGACTTGTCTGTGTTACATCATTCTGAAATGAAATGCTTTGTTTGCAAATACTTGTGAGGAGACTAGTGAGGATTCAAAATGCCACCATGTGAGTGACAGATAGTAGTTTTACCCCTTACCCTATCTAACTGGGAAGCTGCTGGGCATTCTGGCAGCAACCTGAAGTCAAAGGTCATAGTTCCTACAGGAGAAGATGGTGTGTTAGTCTGTTTTTCAGTGTGGAGGTGGGAGGGTTGAGTAGAGATGCTCTTTAGGTTTTTCTTTTTTTAATAAATTTATTTGTTTTATTAACCACCAAACTTAATGGTGGTTACCTATGGAGGGCAGGGCAGGACTGGTGGAGGATTTTTTTTAATTTTTACTTTTCACCTCATTTGAACTTTATATGTATCTTTATTTCTGCAATCAGAAGAATAAAAATGAAAAACCTAGGGCCTCCCTGGTGGTGCAGTGATTAAGAATCTGCCTGCCAAGGCAGGGGACACAGGTTCGAGCCCTGGTCCGGGAAGATCCCACATGCCGCAGAACAACTAAGCCTGTGAGCCACAACTACTGAGCCTGCGCTCTAGAGCCCACAAGCCACAACTACTGAAGCCTGCGTGCCTAGAGCCTGTGCTCCTCGACAAGAGAAGCCACCGCGATGAGAAGCCCGCCCACCGCAATGAAGAGTAGCCCCTGCTCGCCGCAACTACAGAAAGCCTGCGTGCAACAACGAAGACCCTACACAGACAAAAATAAAATAATTTAAAAAAAAGATTATTGCTAATCACAAAAAACAGACATCTCAAGTTAATGCTTAAAAAAAAAAAAAAACTAGCAAAGGAGAGTGCAGTTCTCAGAGAAAGCAAGCAGGGACAATGCCTTACTCTATCTAATCACATCATAAAACCCTACCTAGATAATTCCATTTAGTCCAAAGTCCGTCAAGCCAGCCAAAAAGAAGTAATTTTCTTATCTGTATTATGCCTCTTATTAAAATCCTAAGGCGTCTCACTGCCTTTAAGATAAAATCGGAATGCCTGGCTCCTCTGCCTGGCTCCTGGCACCCATCCCCGATTCACCTCCTGCCTGTCCCTCCAGCTATCAGCCACACCACTTCACCAGCTCTAATCATGTTAAAACTGCCACAGCTCCTGGAACATGCCCTGCTTTCCTTTCACTGTCTCTAAGTGATGCCTCTGCAGGAGCAGCCTTGTGAGCTCCAAGACCCAATGCAGCCAAAAAAAAAAAAGCAGAGAAACCTTTTTATGGGTACTAATGATATTAACTTAAGTGACAACATGACAAAAATGAAGGGTAGTGGATAGGATATATTCATTGGCTTATAGCTGGAAAGGCTGTACGCATTCTTTGTAATTTTAATATATTTGGCAAAGAATATAAAACTTACTTAAAACTCAGGTTAATTATGTCTTATAACACTTGCCTCCTAAAGATTTAGTACTGAGTTTCGTGAAAATTTAGTACTAATTTCTCATGAAAACTCAGTACTAAGTCTGAATTAGTTGCCTATAAATTAACAAATTTATACCTCCTTTAGCTGGTAGTTTAAGCATCAACAAATACTCTTAAATCTGTTTCAAATATAACTCCTTCATAGAATGAGATGAAGTTATATGTAAATAAATTAAAGGCAGTCAAGCCTCCACAATGTCCAGCATACTGCTTAGCTAATTTCTGGTTAATTCTAAAATTATAAAGGTTATATACTCCACTCTATTTCAAGGCATTGATATATCTCACTATATTTATATTTATGCAAAGCTGTAAGTCTCCAGAGGAATATATTTATGAGTTTCACATTCTATTAAGTTTAATAACTGAGAAAGTCTTGATAAATCTAAGCTAAATTTTGTCTTTCACAATTTACTTTAGTTCCCCCTTGTCCTCCGTATCTAGAGAGACAGTTACTCATCACAGCCTTAGAATCCCTCCTTACAGTGAGGACCCCTGCCCTCAGTTCATAATCCATCTTTCTGTTAGCTGCCAGTTTTCTATCCTTTGGTTCTGGGTTCTTTGCCTTGTATCTAAATTTGTGTTAAACAGACACTTACCTTTTCTAAAATAACTTGCAGATCTTCAGCGCCTGTATAATGCGGATCTAAAATCAGAAATTTTATCTGTCCTGTAATCTCATTCCATGCAACTCCTAGTATTGTGTGGGCCAAAACTCCTCCCCCTATTGAAGAGGAAATATGAAATGAGAGGGCATATATTAATCTCAACTTCCCATTCAATTTCAATTTAAAGAGTATTTTGCCTATTAATTGATCTAACAGCATTAAAATCAACTGGCATACACTGTAAACGACACAATGTCAAATATACTCTGAAAAGATAAAATTACATCTTTAAGACAGAAAAGAAACAATTGTATCTATAATCATATTAGGTTTACATTTCACTGCAATATCCATGGAATTACCTAGACTGGATCTAAAAAGGGCCACAGAGGGTCTAAACTCCACCCAACGGAGTAACAATCACTGCTGTTGGTACCCCTCTCAGCAGCTGGGCAATGCTGCCTCTGCTCTGAGTACCTCCAATGGTGCTGCCCAGCTACTCTTTCAATACTTTCTGTATTTTGCTGAAATCTGCCTACCCGCATTTCTTACACACCAGTCTTACCCTGCCTTCTGTCATCACAGGACAAGTCTTATTTCTCACAGAATCGTGAATCTTTAGATCAGCTAATCCAATCCTCTTATTTTACAAATAAAGCCCGAGAGGTTAAGCAATTTGCATAATGTCACAGCCAGCCAAGTTAGTGCTAGCCATGACTTACAATGCTCAGCTCAGTGACCACTGCCTCTTTTCCATTCTGCTCTCAACTCTTCAAGTATTTGAACACAGTTATCATTTCTCTTCTTAGCCTTTACTACTTTTGGTTATTATCTTTTTTGTAACCTTCCTCCTGGCCTTGGAAATTTTAAAATAATATCCAGAGGAAGTATGCATGATGTAAAAGCTAATTTTAATATGTTTAAAAATGACTGATTTTATATGCCATTACATATTTTTATTAACCATAAGTTTCACATACTCTCCACTCTACCAAAAGAACCAGAGATATCCAAACACCTTACCGATCATTACCGGCGTTCCTTCACTCTGGAAATGATTAACCAGTTCCCGTCCCTGAGAGGCCATTTCAGAACCTTGGCTAGAAAGAAACCATTTTCTATCAGATGAACTATTTCTAAGATAGTTGGGAATGTATGAATAATGTTTTGCTGCGCCAAAGCTCACTTTTTAATCACCATACGCTTCACTACTTAATCTATCACTTATTTGTTAGCACTGATTTCCACAGCCAATCCAAACTGCAATTGTGAAATCAGAGGTATTAAAGTACTTGGACAATAAAAATAATAACACTATAGTTAGCAAGGTTGTTGTAATAGAAAATGTATTGAAAACATAAGCTCATAAATAAGGAGTAAGCTAGTGATGGTCATAGATATCAATCATATTAATATTTGCTCGTATTTTAATACTAGAATTGTGATTGAAATATATTGGAAAAGATAAAATGAATGTATTATTTGGACACATTATTAATTTATTAAAATCTTAGGAAGAAAAAGAGTAGGAGATAAACAAAAAGGTCAGTCATAGCTCAACATTTGATTTTTTCCTTTCAAGACGTCTCTGCCTTAAGCATTAAAAAACTAGACTTTCTGGGGACTTCCCTGGTGGTGCAGTGGTTAAGAATCTGCCTGTCAATGCACGGGACACAGGTTTGATCCCTAGTCTGGGAAGATCCCACATGCCGCGGAGCAACTAAGCGTGTGCGCCACAACTACTGAGCCTGCGCTCCCTAGAGCCCGCGCACCGCAACTACTGAGCCCACGTGCTGCAACTACTGAAGCCCGTGCGCCTAGAGCCCGTGCTCCACAACAAGAGAAGCCACCGCAATGAGAAGCCCACGCACTGCAATGAAAAGTAGCCCCCGCTCACCACAACTAGAGAAAGCCCAAGCACAGCAATGAAGACCCAACACAGCCAAAACATAAATGAAAAACTAAATAAAAAGAAAAACAAAACAAAAAAACTAGACTTTCTGTAACTCTACTCAAAACTGACATATTTGCAAGTTTTCCTCTTCCAGACTAAGATTAGGCCTAGAGCATATAAGCAGATACCACAAAGTTTACTCGTAAACTCAAACATCTTCTAAAAAATAACAAAAAAATTTAGGGCTAGAAAAATGATATTTATAAAGCTAGGAGGCAATGTGGAGGAAGAGAAAAGAGTGACAACAAATGTGGGGGAAAATCCGCTTTTTCTTTTAATAAAAATGACAAATTCTCTTTGAAATGATTTCTCAGATTTCTTAAAGTGTCCTTACCTGACAAACAGTATTTTTGAAGTTATACCAATCAAATGGTTCAGTACCAGCTGCACCTCGATAGATCCAATCCACTGCCGTGATCCGACAAATGTTGCTGGTTTGTCCCCAGCATCAACTAGAGCCTTTGTGTATTTAAAAATACAAAAAGATCCATACACAAGACAGCTATTAAAAATTACGTTTAGGGCATTTTCCCTGATTACCAGTATTTATCGTTTTTTTCTTCAAGACAGAAATAAGTCTGCACCATGAGGTAGGAATAATTATTAATGGTATATTAAGGGTTAATGAAACATCCAACTGATTACAATTCAAAATGGCATGTTCTCTACCTGCTGAATTTCTCTGTGTGTTGGAATGGATCTCTCTGTGTATCCCTGGTGTTTGAACCAAGAGCAGATAGTCTGCAGAGACCGATAAGCACAGCCCCAGCCATTGTCATCGATCCGATCCTGCATATAATGATGGTAACCATATATGCCCTGGACCACAGAAATCTATATAAAAAGAAGAAACACAGTAAAATATTAACTTAAGATAGACGTATGTATTATATTACACATACACATACTGAGTCATTTTACTATTCTCAGAGCTAGACTTTAGTTCCTTATAAAAAATTTTTTTAAAAAGAGGAAACACTCCCCAGCCCTTTCAATGAGCCAGTATACTACTGATACAAAAGTAAAGTAAGAACAGTATGAGAAAAGAAAATTATAAGACAATATCATTCATGAACACAGATGCAACAATCTTAACAAAATATCAGCAAACTAAATCCAGCAGAGAATAAAAAATAATAATTAATCATAACCAAACTATCATGAACACAAATCTAATATTGTTTGGAGATTTGCGTTGGAAGTATTTAGGAGTAAATAGCATGATGCCTGTAATTTTCTTTGAAATGGCTCAAGGGGAAAAAAGGAGAAATGAAGCAAATATAGCAAATTGTTGACATTGTTGCATCTATGTAACAAGAGACATGTACAGTAACGTTCATAGCAGGGTTGTCTAAATAGCAAAACAACCTGGGAAAAAAAATGATACCAAGGTATATTATCAAGCAATAAAGATAACTGAACTACAATTATACACAATACCATGGATAAATCTTAGCTACATGATATTGAGTGAAAAAGCAAATACACAGAATGACACCATTTTGGTAAAACTCAAAATCAAGCAAGACTAAAAGCAACATTGTTGAGAGAATATACACATATATGGTGAAACTATTAAAAGACAGCGAAGTGAATGATGAATCCAAAACTCAGTATAATAGTTCCTCCTGGGTGTCGGGGAGGCAGAGGAGTGGATAGGAAGGAGAACACAGTCAGACTGGCCACGTCCTAGTTCTTAAATGGGGCAGGGAGCTCTCCAATATTGATTTCTTTACTGTGCTTTATAACTTACATGTATGTTACATGCACACATTAAGTATCATATAATAAATATTAAGAAATATATAAATGCTTCTTGCATTTTTGCAATACAGATAACCAACCCATTTCATTGTCAAAAAACAATCAGTATTTATTCAGTACCTTCTGAGTGTCCCGGTGCTTAGTAAAGAACTATTAGGAATGAAAAATGAATATATGATATAATACTTATCCTAGAAGAGTTCCAAATATAATCTCAGAGAGAAAACATTTATGTAATAATCTACGGGAAAACTATCAAGAGTTATGTTGCTTGTTAGAGACTCTAAGTTTTGTATTTCCTATTCTATGATTCTCTGACTGTGACAGAACAAGATTTTCAATCAGGAACAGGTCTCTCAAGATTTCCTCCCATATAAGCAAAATAAGTGAAATCATTCAATGTCACTGAAATGTTGACTAAAGTCTCATTTGTATGCATATAACAGTGAGTGCCCAGCCAGGGCTGTTCTATGCAAAGCTGGTCTGCCCATAGCTCTCGCAGGTGAAGCTGCTGTCCCAAGTGCATGCTGATGGCCAGAACTGGAAGCAGGTCCCTAACTGCCCTAGGGTCAATGTTGTATCACATACTCATCTTTAATTCTTAAGATTTCCATACAAAGCACCTGGAGGCTCAGCAAGTATTGAATAAATGCCATAACAAGATGGGCCAATCAAGTTTTCTCTTATGGGAATTTGAATTGAGAGGTGCAGAGTGAATCAGGCAGTAAGTACAAGGAATGAAGCTGAAACAATGCATGCAATGAGCAGCTCTGAGGGAGAGTAGGAAAAGTTATGTCAGGCTGAAAAAATGAGGAAACAGAAGACGAGGCTGAGAAAAGGTAGAATAAAGGGAAGGAACAGGCCAGTTAGGATCAAAAGCACCCCCAAAGAAAGCTGAGAAATGCCATCAAGGAGTGAGAGTACGCCTTGATACCGAGGCCAGTCACAGTGCTGCTTTGTTCTAAGAGGCCCAGCTGTAGATTCCTATTCTTGGTTGCCCATGAGATCCTCTCTCACTAGCCTGCATGCATCCTTAAAGGAACCCCTCCCCCACACTCCTTTTCTGAAATACCTTTAGTGAAAAGATCTACCCCTTACAACTAGGTATGTGCTGTACAGGAAACATGTAGTGCTTTATTAGCCTTTTCCTACAGTGTGAGTTGTGTAGAAATATGCCCTTAATTAGCATGATTTCTCAGGTTCAGAATGGAAATAAAATGGGACAAGCCTTTAAAGAAATTAAGGAATGGAATTTTAGTAAGAGAAATGTGCTACACACTATCTATTCCTAACCTTTTTAGACCACTGTGAATTACTGCTATCTTAATCAATGATCATTAAAAGAAAAGGGTGGCAAAGTATGTTTTAGGGACGATGATACCCGTTATGAATTGATCCTTACAACTTCCACTGGGTACAGACAAAAAACAACTAATGACACTTATGATCAATTGACTCACATAAAGAATTACTAAACTCACCATACCAGTCTCTATGTTAGGTGGATTGAGATAAGTATGTGGATTTCTAATGTAACCATCTTTGTATGGTTCATCTGGAAAGTGATAAGCATTAGACCTTTTGAAATAAGGTCTGTCATGAGGCAGATTGAAGAGATCGTGTAACTCCTAAATGAAATCAGAATCAAGAGGAAAGAAGAGAAAAAAAGTTAAATGATTTAGATTCCTAGTCAATAAATGAACTCAAACTAGATACAAAACAGAAAATTTACTATATATTGGTTATAAACGTTATCAAACGCACTTATGATTTAATTCACTAAGGTTAAAGAAAGTGAGATTTAGGGCTTCCCTGGTGGCGCAGTGGTTGGGAATCTGCCTGCCAATGCAGGGGACACGGGTTCAAGCACTGGTCTGGGAGGATCCCACATGCTGTGGAGCAGCTAGGCCCGTGAGCCACAACTACTGAGCCTGCGTGTCTGGAGCCTGTGCCCCACAAGAGAGAGGCCGTGACAGTGAGAGGCCCGCGCACCGCAATGAAGAGTGGCCCCCACTCGCCGCAACTAGAGAAAGCCCTCGCAGAGAAACGAAGACCCAACACAGCCAAAAATAAATAAATTTAAAAAAAAAAAAAATGAGATTTAAACTAAAACCAAAAAAGATTTATTTTTGTTTATCTATGTATATGGATAGAAACTGGAAGGGAATGTAGAAAAATGATAACAATTCGTTAGAGTCAGAGAACTGAGATTATTTAAAATTACTCACTATAACGCACTGTTAAAATACATCCAGGCTAAAGACTGGTTTTGAAACAACCTCATAAATGAGTAAATTATAATTAACAATGATACAATTATATCAAAATATTTTTAAAAAATCATGCTTAGAGTACTTAACAAATATAAGGGGTAATGATTAAATTATAGAGATGGGTGGCATGAAACCAACCAATACGGCATCAGAATAAAAATACACATATATGTTTAAAAGGCAATGTATTCTTGAATGTTAAAAACATGTTAATAGTTACTTTGAAAAGTCTGACATCTTCTTTTGCTATTTCCTATGTATTCTAGCAGTTTGAATAGGATCATTAGCTTATGTAACTGTTGCCTCTGCAAATCAATTCATCTGGCACTTACAGAGAGGTACAAAGGGTTACATTGTTATATCTCTTTTCAGGGACAGAAGAAACTGGGAAGATAGTCCCATGGTATAATTTGATGGATGCCAGGCAAGGCCACACATCAAAAATATGTACTCCCAAACTAGTCATTTTGCCAAGAAATCTCATTTCTTTGAATGCTGATCATGTTTTCTTCAAAATGCCTCTAATAAAACCCAAATAACCCTGGGACATGGTGGATGGAGTAATACTATAAATCCTAATTAGAAACAGCATAAATTCTAATTTCCCTTCTCAGACTCTAATCTTGTCTCTTCCACAAATCTGGAAGTAATGGAAGAGAAAAGGAATATATTAAATAACACTCATCAGCTGCTCCAGGCATGTAAGCATCTTTTCAGTTCTAAATTTCATTACAGAAAAATAACATATGAACTACACTGAACATATGAAATTAAAATGTTACATATGGTTTAGCAAATTTTTTTTATTAATAATACTTTAAAAAGTTATAGAACAGAAGTTAAATAAGGTGTAAAGCTAATAGTCTGCATCCACACTTTAAAATTAAATCACAAAACAATGTCCATTTATTAGAAACACATAATTAAACACAAAATGAATGATAGCTGTATTTTTTTTAAGAAAAAATGAATTGGTTTCACCTTTCTATAGGCCTGCAGCTGATCATCTGGAATTCCTGATGGATATGAAATTGTTACAAGATTTTTTTCCCCTGGTAATAAAAAGTGCAGTGGTTCAGGGACCACGATAGATGTTCCTTTCATGTATTTCAAAATGCATTTTTCCATATCAGTTAGTTGATTATGAATTGCATCAACTAGACGTTTACGAACTCTGAGGGGGGGAAAATATACAAGTGCATTAACAGAAGTTATAGTAGTTTATGATGTGAAAGTGTCGAGTGACTATATTCCTAATGTATCCTCGATTGGACCAGGTTTATTAAAGGAAGTCTAAAAAAATGCAAAGTTAAATGTTAAATAAACTAAATTTCCTCTGAGTAGATAAAGGGAAAACCCTACAGGTTTTGCATATTACTCTACTTCCTCCAATAAACATCTAATTACTAGATGACTCTTAGTTTAATAACAAAGAGTAAATCATAGTAAAAACAACAACAACCCTGAATATGCCTATATGATAATTTAAAATGAGCTCTGATTACTTTGGGAGAGGGTCCTCATTTAAACGTGGCAGTAGTATTAGAAAATACCTACTTTCCCCACGTTTCTTCTGGAGCAACAGATACAACTGCATCGACTGGTAAAGTCATATTAACATAGTGGTGTCCTCCGCTTTCTCTTTCAATGATGGGTGTTACAGCTGCCAGAGGGGTTGACATTTCCAGCATAAGATCTATATTTACTATTTGATGCTATAAAGATAAACAGTAAAAGTTAACTTGTAGAACATTGAACAATAATATAAGAGGTAAGTAAAAGGACTTTTTAAGGACCATATAAGCTATATTACAGTAAATTATTGAAAAGTACAAATCTTAGCTTAAAGAAAAAATCTTCCCTGCTTCAAAATAATCTGAGGAGAAGGGGAGAGTGGGAAGTGAAGGTGAAATCAGACTGATCACATACTGATAAACATTAAAGTTAGGTTCACCAGGCTTCATTTAACTATTTTCTCTACTTTTGTATACATTTTAAAACTTCAAAACAAAACAAATCAAATGAACAAGATACAATAACCACACACTGAAGCAACTTTTAAACATATGACTATATACCTGTGGTCTAAAGACATAAAAAACTATAAAAAAATATTGAACTCTATTAGTAGGTTTGATTTTGATAGTGGTATGGGAAAACAATTCTGAAAATGATTTCTGTATATTAAACAAATTTAGCAAAATATTAAGAGTACTGGAAGCCAGGTTTCTCACTGGGAAAAGGTCAGGAATTGTGTGAGGCTGAAGTAGAACTGGAGGTATAATATGATTTACACAGATAAATATGGATGTATGTGTTATATATGTATAGTATGTGTATATATATATGTGTGTGTGTGTGTGTGTGTGTGTGTATGTGTGTGTGTGTGTGTGTGTGTGTGTGTGTGTGTGTTCCTTGGGGAAATGGCTGATTCCTGAGCTAGAACAGGGCAAGTACAAGATGTGTCTGGAACATCCTGTGGAAGAAAGTAGCAAGTACTCAAAAATATGGTGTCAAGAGGACACTGGAGCCAGCATGAAGTTTCTATTGGCCAAATCTTAGAAAATGTGAGCATCAAAATAACTAAAGACAGTAACAGTAACAGATAACTCTTTGCATAAAATAGGAATCCATGCTTCCATGCAGTTAATAAACCAACAGGGAAATGGAAAATCTCCCCCTCACAGTATAATGTCATCTAATAAATGTAAAAGGAAACGATAGACTTAGAAAAATCACTATTTTGCAACCATCAGATTAATGCTAGATTCTGGCAAAAATTATCAATTGATGTTAGAAGTGATGGGTAAAAACTTGATGAGGAACAGGATATATGTATAAACTCAAGGTATCTTCCCACAAAATACTTACAAATTTTAAGGGCAAAAAATAGTACCCTCACCGTGGAGAACACTGGCAGATACCACATTAAATGATCAAAGTTAACATCACTAATACAAGAACAAACTGAGCATATGCTTCTTTCATATGATGTGCTGAGAAGGACACACATTACTTCTGTGGTATTCCTACCAACAATGACCACATGAATCTATCACGAGAAAGCCTAAAACAAACCCAAACCCAAACTGAGGAACATCCTACAAAAGAACTGACCTGTATCCCTCAAAATGTCAAGCTCCAATGACTGGTAATTCTCAAATCCTTATCCACAGCCCACATTTTTTTTGTACACTCCACATTTATAAATCTAACAGCTCATGTGGACTCCTCACTGCTGTCTAAAACATAATGTGACCGAAACTGACCTCATGTCTTCCCCATCTTCCATCTTTACCCAAGCAAGAAGTTGGTCATCCCACATACAATTAGTTTCCAAATATAATCTATTCAATCCCCTAAATAGTTCTTGTAACCATTCCCTCCTCTTTATTACCGTAGCTACTGTTTTGGTTTGGCTTCTCCTGAGTGGTCCCTGCCCACATCTCCAACCTCATGTCCACTCTAATTTCCTTACTAGTCTGGAAAAACACTGAAGGTATACTAACTTTGTACAACTTCCTGCCTTGAAGCAGCAGCTCCATTTTTCATCTCCAATATCTGGCAAAGTTTGTGGCATGTGGTAGGTACTCTAATAGTACTGGTTCAAAAATCAACGGAACCCAAACAGTGTGAAGAAAAGTAAATCATTTATTATTTACTACCTCATGTAGCATAACGTGTCACTGTCATGTTTCAGAATGATCCCTTTTTATTTTTTAAATAATTTGTAAACGGACTCAAGCTGTTTTATTTCTGTGGGAGCAAACAAGGCAACCAAAAAACTCACTTAAGATATATATTATAATGGGACAAAAGTTTAGATATGTACACCAGAAATATAACCTCTGGCAAGACATTTAATTTTTCTGGACCTGAATAATCTGATCTGTAAAAAAAATAAGAAAGTTGGGTTAAGTAATTTCTAAGATCTCACTCAACTCTAAATTCAAGGATTGAAAATTTTTATCACTAAGAAGACAGGTGATTTGCTTACCACGTCTGACAACCTTTTGTCTTTCTTCCTCATGAATTTTCGTTTTGTATCCTCTTCCTGTTCAAATCTAAATTTTTAATACACAAAGATGTTTACCATACGAAATGACCTTGTGAAAACACTTCTAGCCATCTTCAAGCATACTCACTGAATAAAGCGCATTATGTTCTTACAGGTGGAACTATCAGTCAGTTCTCCTGGAATGGTGTTCATGTCACTGTTAGGCCATATGTACACTGAACTGTGGCAGATTCTGAACACAAGTGCATTTGAAGAAAGCTTGGTTGACAGGTCACTCAACATATGTTTTAGTGCTTTCTTGACAAAAATTTCTAAATTAAAAGAATATATATAGAATAAGAAAAACTGTACTTTTCAACATGAATGCTTCCAAGCACACAAAAGTACAGCACAGTAAAATTGACCCCCAAATATCCATTCCCTATATTCAATACTATAAAAACATTATTTTTGCCTTTTTAAAAAAAATTGACATAAAATTCATAGACCATAAAATTCACCGTTTCATATGTACAATTCAGTTGCTTTTAGTATACGACAAGGTGTAAAATCATCACTATTTAATTCCAGAACATTTCATCACCCCCAAAGAAACCCTGGCCTTACCAGAGGTCATTCCCCATTCTCCCATGGCAATCACTAACCTACTTTTGGTCTCTATAGATCTGCCTATTCTGGACACTTCATATAAATGGAATCACACATCACATGGCCTTTTGTGTCTGGCTTCTTTCACTCGGCCTAATACTTTCAAGATTCATCCATATTGTGGATTCATCCATATTGTGAATTCATCCATAGCATGAATTAGCACTTCACTCTTTTTTATGGCTGAATAATACTCCATTGTATGAGCAAAGCATGTTTTGTTTATCCATTCACAAGCTGATACACATTTGGGTTGTTTCTACTTTTTGGTTATCGTGAATAATGCTGTTATGAACATTTGTGCACAAGTTATTGTGTGGACATACGTTTTTAATTCTCTTAGGTGATCACCTAGGAAGAATTGCTGGGTCATATGGTAACTGTCTTTTTGAGGAACTGCCAAACTGTTTTCCAAAGGAACTGCACCATTTTATATCCCCATCAGCAATGTATAAGGATTCCAATTACTCTCAAAATACTTTATTACTTATAGCAATAAAACTACTGAATGAAACTTAAATTTCTCTATAGTTCTATTCTTCCTTGGACTATATCCCACTAAGACTGTACAAAGTACTGTGCTCTGAAGCCACAGTTGTTTTCTCTGTGTGGTATGTCATCAACCTGATATTTGTCTGACTTCATTTTCAGGGATTTCCTTTTTACTTTATAGAATTTTTTTAATATGAAAAACATTTTCATGGTTCCAAAGTCAAAACTATAAAGAAGATATATCTGAAGAAGACAATATTTAAATACTTGTCCTAGCTTTATACTCCTAAATCCTAAACCTAGTTAACCTTGTGATTAAAATACTTATTTAACTATCACACTGATATCTTGATAAATAAATACCTTGAGATTGTGGTAGAGAAAAGATTACTTGTAACAAGTCAGATTAAAAGATATCCTGATATGTTTCAGAAAGCCAAATTTAAAGAGTTTTAGCTGCACTACAGAAGACAAACATAATTCCTGGGTTACCTTCTTTTATCCCTGAAGGACCATGAGGGAAAGTATCTAAATAATTGTGATGTCTTTATGTCAAGCACCTTCTTCCCCTCAATTTCCTCATTAATGATTCCCTTCATTGAGTGTTTCAAAGAGTTTGATACAGGAGGAGGAATACGATCAAGTCAGAAGACAAGCTCAAATACATTAATTACTAGGTAAAAAGTAACTGTAGTCCTTATTTACATTTGAAATTACATCATTATATCTGGTGACTAATATATTAGTTATACTTTGTGATAAGTTCATAGCAAAATATACCTTCAATTTATATTAAGTTGTAAAATGTAAGGCTTTATCCATACAAGAAACATATTAAGGAACAACAATCCTTTACTGATAAGATAGGCCTAAAAGTGAGTTTTAGTCCTTGCAAAATGATTCTCATCTTGATGGCACATTAGAGAATCACCTAAAAAGCTTACTGATGCCCAAGTCTCTGTCCTTAGAGACTTCAATTGGTCTGGAAGTGGGGATTCGAATGTGGACCAAGATTGAGAACAATTGTCTAATATGAAGGGATGGGTCAGAAAGAACATTCAGCATTCACTCCCTCTTTCCAAAGGGCCAGTAAATAATCGTCAGCTGGTGATCTCCTTCAAGGAACTCTGACACTGCTTATTCCTTATCTTTCTGAACTTCTTTGTGGCTCCTGACACCATTGATCATGCTTTTCTTGAGTGATTTCATTTAGTATAAGGAATTAACTATCATCCTTGAGAGATATTAAGTTCTCTTCTCTCCAGTTCTGACCACTCCCTGCTAAGTTTCAGGCTCAAATTACCAAATGCCTGTTGGGAGCTGGCACTTGGCTTACTGTGGCATCTCGAATGAAACACATCTCAAACACAGCTCCACATCTTCTTCCTCTGTTATTCGTTGCCTCAGTTTCTGGCAGTAGTCAGAAACAGGAAGACATCCTAGAATTTGGTTTATACAAACACTGCTGATTTTTCTCCCATAGAGCTTGCCTACCATTCCTAAACAACATGACATTCAAGAGAGTGGGCTCCTGAGACTCAGGGTTATGTACAGTTGTAAGTCTACAATGTACAAGTCTGGGTGCCTCTTTATATTGTGCTCATGGTGGATATTTATATTTATCGTGACAATTTTCTTTGAGAGGGCAGTAAAGTTTCTTAAGTAAGGGGACAATGTGCAAAGAGAGCCCCATGGGCTAGAGGGGGTGGGGAACAGTGTCTAAGTTTAAATCCAATTTATATCACTTACTAACTATATGACCTTAGACAGTTTATTCATCCTCTCTCTCAGTTTCATGTGCAAAATGGTAAGAATCTCAATATATTTCATAATCAACTTTATAATAAAAAAGCAGAGTATTTTGGCAGACCTACCATTAGGAGTAGCTAGCTGAAAAGCTAGATCAAGGCCACCTCTCATTCTGAAGAGTATATCCATAGTCTCTGAAATAACCTAAGACAAATGAAACCAAAATTTCATTGTAAAACAAAAACTCATCCTCATATAAATTAGAATCAAACTGAATTTAGGTTTAGGCATTAATTAACCTTGATTTTTCAAGTTATTTCATGAGTTAATTCCTTGTTTTATGGAGAAAAACAAAACACCCTAAATTCTAAATTAGAGGTTCTCAACCTTTGTTCCACATTGAAATCACCTGAGAAGTTTAAAATACTGACTCCTGGGCTACACCCCCTGAGATTCTGATTAACTGGTCTGGGGAGGGTCTAGGCACAAGGATATTTAAAACGTCCTCCATGTGAATGAGTCTAATTGGAAAAGGTTGAGGACCACAGCTCTAAGAAAGTATTTCTAAATTACAGTTTTAATAATTATAGGTTTTAACAATGACATGAAAAGATCAATGGAAAATAACTAGTTTAAGAATGGGACAAAAACACTGACCCTATTATGATAAGAACTGATGGTCAGGGCCTCCCTGGTGGCGTAGTGGTTGAGAGTCCGCCTGCCGACGCAGGGGACACGGGTTCGTGCCCCGGTCCGGGAAGATCCCACATGCCGCGGAGCGGCTGGGCCCGTGAGCCGTGGCCGCTGAGCCTGCGCGTCCGGAGCCTGTGCTCCGCAAAGGGAGAGGCCACAACAGTGAGAGGCCCACGTACCGCAAAAAAAAAAAAAAAAAAAAAAAAAAAGAACTGATGGTCAAGACAATGAGAGGAAACTAATATATCACTGACAGTGGGAGTATAAACTCTTAGAATTCTTCATAGGGTGATATGGCAATAAGAATCAAAAGCCTTATATTCATGAGCAGAAGCAAGAAGAACTACAATCCTGCAGCCTGTGGAATAAAAACCACATTCACAGAAAGACAGACAAGATGAAAATGCAGAGGGCTATGTACCAGATGAAGGAACAACATAAAACTCCAGAAAAACAACTAAATGAAGTGGAGATAGGGAACCTTCCAGAAAAAGAATTTAGAATAATGATACTGAAGATGGTCCAGGGCCTCAGAAAAGGAATGGAGGCAAAGATCGAGAAGATGCAAGAAATGTTTAACAAACACCTAGAAGAATTAAAGAACAAACAAACAGAGATGAACAATACAATAACTGAAATGAAAACTTCACTAGAGGGTATCAATAGCAGAATAACTGAGGAAGAATTGATAAGTGACCTGGAAGATAGAATGGTGGAATTCACTGCTGTGGAAAAGAATAAAGAAAAAAGAATGAAAAGAAATGAAGACAGCTTAAGAGACCTCTGGGACAACACTAAACACAACAACATTCACATTATAGGGGTCCCAGAAGGAGAAGAGAGAGAGAAAGGACCCGAAAAAATATATGAAGAGATTATAGTCGAAAACGTCCCTAACATGGGAAAGGAAATAGCCACCCAAGTACAGGAAGCACAGCGAGTCCCATACAGGATAAACCCAAGGAGAACCACACTGAGACACACAGGAATCAAATTGGCAAAAATTAAAGACAAAGAAAAATTATTGAAAGCAGCAAGGGAAAAATGACAAATAACATACAAGGGAACTCCCATAAGGTTAACAGCTGATTTCTCAGCAGAAACTCTACAAGCCGGAAGGGAGTGGCATGATATACTTAAAATGATAAAAGGGAAGAAACTACAACCAAGATCACTCTACCTGGCAAGGATCTCATTCAGATTCGATGGAGAAATCAAAACCTTTACAGACAAGCAAAAGCTAAGAGAATTCAGCATCACCAAACTAGCTCTACAACAAATGCTAAAGGAACTTCACTAAGTAGGAAACACAAGAGACAAAAACAAACCCAAAACAGTTAAGAAAATGGTCATAGGAACATACATATCGATAACTACCTTAAACGTGAATGGATTAAATGCTCCAACCAAAAGACACAGGCTCGCTGAATGGATACAAAAACAAGACCCATATATATGCTGTCTACAAGAGACCCATTTCAGACCTAGGGACACATACAGACTGAAAGTGAGGGGATGGCAAAAGATATTCCATGCAAATGGAAATCAAAAGAAAGCTGGAGTAGCAATACGCACATCAGATAAAATAGACTAAAATAAAGAATGTTACAAGAGACAAGGAAGGACACTACATAATGATCAAGGGATCAAACCAAGAAGAAGATATAACAATTATAAATATATATGCACCCAACACAGGAGCACCTCAATACATAAGGCAATTGCTAACAGCTATAAAAGAGGAAATCAACAGTAACACCATAATAGTGGAGGACTTTAACATCTCCCTTACACCAACAGACAGATGATCCAAAATTAAAATAAATAAGGAAACAGAAGCTTTACATGACACAATAGACCAGACAGATTTAATTGATATTTATAGGACATTCCATCCAAAAACAGCAGGTTACACTTTCTTCTCAAGTGCGCACAGAACATTCTCCAGGATAGATCACATATTGGGTCACAAATCAAGCCTCAGTAAATTTAAGAAAATTGAAATCATAACAAGCATCTTTTCTGACCACAACGCTGTGAGATTAGAAATGAATTACAGGGAAAAAAACATAAAAAAACGCAAACACGTGGAGGCTAAACAATACGTTACTAAATAACCAAGAGATCACTGAAGAAATCAAAGAGGAAATCAAAAAATACCTAGAGACAAATGACAATGAAAACACGACCATCCAAAACCTATGGGATGCAGCAAAAGCAGTTCTAAGAGAGAAGTTTATAGCTATACAAGCCTACCTCAAGAAACAAGAAAAATCCCAAATAAACAATCTAACTTTACACCTAAAGGAACTAGAGAAAGAAGAACAAACAAAACCCAAATTTAGCAGAAGGAAAGAAATCATAAAGATCAGAGCAGAAATAAATGAAATAGAAACAAAGAAAACAATAGCAAAGATCAATAAAACTAAAATCTGGTTCTTTGAGAAGATAAACAAAATTGATAAGGTATAACCTTCGAAGACTGAACCAGGAAGAAATAGAAAATATGAACAGACCAATTACAAGTAATGAAATTGAAACTGTGATTAATTAAAAGTCTTCCAACAAACAAAAGCCCAGGACCAGATGGCTTCACAGGTGAATTCTATCAAACATTTAGAGAAGAGCTAACACCCATCTTTCTCAAACTCTTCCAAATAATGCAGAGGAAGGAACACTCCCAAACTCATTCTATGAGGCCACCATCACCCTGATACCAAAACCAGACAAAGATACTACAAAAAAAGAAAATTACAGACCAATATCACTGATGAATATAGATGCAAAAATCGTCAACAAAATACTAGCAAACAGAATCCAACAACACATTAAAAGGATCATACACCATGATCAAGTGGGATTTATCCCAGGGATGCAATGATTCTTCAATGTATGCAAATCAATCAATGTGATACACCATATTAACAAACTGAAGAATAAAAACCATATGATCATCTCAATAGATGCAGAAAAAGCTTTTGACAAAATTCAACACCCATTTATGATAAAAACTCTTCAGCAAGTGGGCACAGAGGGAACCTACCTCAACATAATAAAGTCAATATATGACCAACCCACAGCAAACATCATTCTCAATGGTGAAAAACTGAAAGCATTTCTTCTAAGATCAGGAACAAGACAAGGATGTTCACTCTCACCACTGTTATTCAACATAGTTTTGGAAGTCGTAGCCATGGCAATCAGAGAAGAAAAAAATAAAAGGAATACAAATTGGAAAAGAAGAAGTAAAACTGTCACTGTTTGCAGATGACATGATACTATACATAGAGAATCCTAAAGATGCTACCAGAAAACTACTAGAACTAATCAATGAATCTGGTAAAGTTGCAGGATACAAAATTAATGCACAGAAATCTCTTGCATTCCTATACACTAATGATGAAAAATCTGCAAAAGAAATTAAGGAAACAGTCCCATTTACCACTGCAACAAAAAGAATAAAATACCTAGGAATAAACTTACCTAGGGAGACAAAAGACCTGTATGCAGAAAACTATAAGACACTGATGAAAGAAATTAAAGATGATACAAAGATATACCATGTTCTTGGATTGGAAGAATCAATATTGTGAAAATGACTATAGCACCCAAAGCAATCTACAGATTGAATGCAATCCCTATCAAATTACCAATGGCATTTTTTACACACGTAGAACAAAAAATCTCAAAATTTTTATGGAGACACAAAAGATCCTGAATAGCCAAAGCAGTCTTGCAGGAAAAAAAGAGCTGGAGGAACCAGACTCTCTGACTTCAGACTATACTACAAAGCTACAGTAATCAAGACAATATGGTATTGGCACAAAAACAGAAACACAGATCAATGGAACAAGACAGAAAGCCCAGAGATAAACCCACACACCTATGGTCAACTAATCTATGACAAAGGAGGCAAGAATATACCATGGAGAAAAGACAGTCTCTTCAATAAGTGGTGCTGGGAAAACTGGACAGCTACATGTAAAAGAATGAAATTAGAACACTCCTTAACACCATACACAAAAATAAACTCAAAATGGATTAGAGACCTAAACGTAAGACCGGACACTATAAAATTCTTAGAGGAAAACATAGGAAGAACACTCTTTGACATAAATCACAGCAAGATCTTTTTTGATCCACCTCCTAGAGTAATGGAATTAAAAGCAAAAATAAACAAATGGGACCTAATGAAACTTCAAAGCTTTTGCACAGCAAAGGAAACCATAAACAAGACAAAAAGACAATCCTCAGAATGGGAGAAAATATTTGCAAACAAATCAATGGACAAAGGATTAATCTCCAAAATATATAAACAGCTCATGCAACCCAATATTAAAAAAACAAACAACCCAATCCAAAAATGTGCCGAAGACCTAAACAGACATTTCTCCAAAGAAGACATACAGATGGCCAAGGAGTACATGAAAAGCTACTCAACATCACTAATTATTAGAGAAATGCAAATCAAAACTACAATGAGGTATCACCTCCCACCAGTTAGAATGGGCGTCATCAGAAAATCTACAAACAACAAATGCTGAAGAGGGTGTGGAGAAAAGGGAACCCCCTTGCACTGCTGGTGGGAATATAAATTGATACAGCCACTATGGAGAACAGTATGGAGGTTCCTTAAAAAACTAAAAATAAAATTACCATAGGCTTCCCTGGTGGCGCAGTGGTTGAGAGTCCGCCTGCCGATGCATGGGACACGGGTTTGTGCCCCGGTCTCGGAAGATCCCACATGCTGTGGAGTGGCTGGGCCCGTGAGCCATAGCCGCTGAGCCTGCGCGTCCGGAGCCTGTGCTCCGCAACGGGAGAGGCCACAACAGTGTGAGGCCCGCGTACAGAAAAAAAAATACCATATGATCCAGCAATCCCACTACTGGGCATATACCCAGAAAAAACCATAATTCAAAAAGACACATGCAGGGCTTCCCTGGTGACGCAGTGGTTGAGAGTCCTCCTGCTGATTCAGGGGACACGGGTTCATGCCCTGGTCCGGGAAGATCCCACATGCCGCAGAGCGGCTGGGCCTGTGAGCCATGGCCGCTGAGCCTGTGCGTCCGGAGCCTGTGCTCCGCAACAGGAGAGGCAGGCCACAACAGTGAGAGGCCCGCGTCCCGAAAAAAAAAAAAAAAAAAAAAAAAAAAGACACATGCACCCCAATGTTCATTGCAGCACTATTTATAATAGCCAGGTGATGGAAGCAACCTAAATGCCCATCGACAGACGAATGGATAAAGAAGATATGCTACATATATACAATGGAATATTACTCAGTCATAAAAAGGAACGAAACTGGGTCATTTGTTGAGACGTGGATGGACCTAGAGACTGTCATACAGAGTGAAGTAAGTCAGAAAGAAAAAAACAAATATCGTATATTAACGCATGTATGTGGAACCTAGAAAAATGGTACAGATGAACCGGTTTGCAAGGCAGAAATTGAGACACAGATGTAGACAACAAACAAATGTGCACCAAGGGGGGAAAGAGGCAGGGAGGTGGGGATGGTGGTGGGATGAACTGGCCGATTGGGATTGACATGTATATACTGATGTGTATAAAACTGATGACTAAGAAGAACCTGCTGTATAAAAAAATAAATAAAACAAAATTCAAAAATTCAAAAAAAAGCCTTATATTCACATTCTTGGCCTAGTAATTCTGCATTTAGAAATTTAATTTTTAAGGTAATTTGCAAAACACACAAAGATTAGCGTATACAGATGTTAACCTGTCAACAAGAGGAGACTGATTAAATAATTATGAATATTATACAGTAATGAAAAATAATGCTTTATAAGAATATTTAATGCCATAGGAAAATGCTTGCAACTTATAAATGGGGAAAAAAGCACTTGTAAAGTGGAATCTATTAGCAGTTCTTAATTTGTGTCCATACATTGCAGGTAGTTGACATGACAAAGACATATCATTTTGCTGGGGGAGAGGAGTGGGAAGGAGGAAGTGGTTTCAAAGATTTCATCAGATACTCAATGTCCCAAACAGGCTGAAGAACCATACTACACAGTAAGAGCCCTATTTTGAAATAAATGAGTAAGTACTAACATTTACTGAGCCCTTAAAAAGTAAACGGCACTATGCTAAATGACTGGACATATATTAACTTTGATCCTCAGAACATTACAAAGTAGGTAAATTTTCTCATTTACAAATCCTTGTCACATTTTTTTTTTTTTAGCCGCACCACGCGGCATGCCGGTTCTTCCCCAAACAGGGATCGAACCTGTGCCCCCTGCATTGGGCGAGGAGTCTTAACCACTGGACCGCCAGGTAAGTTCCCTTGTCACATTTTTTTAAGGGCGACTGCTTTTAATTTCCATAAATTGTAACCTGTTGAAAGGCCGTGTCCTTTTCTCCAATTATACTTCTTGGAATTTATCCTAAAGAAATAATCAAGAAAGTTCAGACAAATTTAGCTTGAATGTTACCCACTTATCATACTGTTATTCATCATAGCAAAAAGCAAACAAACAAACAAAAAACCCCACCTAAATAGCTATCAATAACAAGTCTGTTAAGTAAATAAGTCAGTTAAATACTATGCACCTATTTGAATAAAAAATATTTAATGGCACTGAAAAATACTGAAGATAAGAGTTATAAAGACAGGCCAGAGCAAAATTTAACTGTTACTTTCTATATGACCTTGTAACTAATCACTCAAGTCTGTCTTCTCTTGTGTAAAATTGGAAAAATATACAACTTCACAGGGTTGTTGTGAAAGTTCCATAAGAGATCTTATGAGAATGCACTAGAATCTCCTCACACTTCTGAATTGAGATCCTTTCTGAAGAAATAATATTTAAACTGAGATCTGGGGGGTAAGTACGTAAGAGTATGAGCAATTCCAAAGGAAAGATGGGGGTGCAGGTGGACAAGCCCATTCCAGGCAGGGCCTCAGATTGGTGAAGGCCTGCTTAAAAGACCACTTAAGAGACCACAGCAGATGGTTAGATCTCATGGTGCCAAGGACAAGGATAGTTAGAGACAGTGACGACTGACAGCCATTTAGAAGTAGATTCCATAGCATTTGATTAGTGAACAGATGTTCAGGAGTTGAGAAAAGGGCGATGTCAAGGATGATTTCCAGGGTTTTGGCATGAACAACGGTGGGGTGGATGGTAGCGCAGTGAACTGAGATGGGGATCACTGGAGGAAGAGCAGGTGTGGGACGAGGGGAGGTGGGAATGGTGAGTCAGTTTTGAACTTGCTGAGTCTGAAATACATATGAGCCATCCAAGTGGAGGTACAGTTAGTAGATATGCGGATCTGGAGCTCAGAACACATCTCTAAGCTGGAGATACAAATTTTGGAGAAAGCATAGGGTGTAAAGAAAAGTACTGAACGCCACATCTAGGATACGGATTGGAGGACCTGCTTCAGCAATTAAGAGGGAAACCAGGGGAGTGTGACATCACAGCAGCTAAGGGAATACAGTAATTGGAAAGTCACTCATATCTTTCCCAGGTCCAATCCTTCCTCGAAACCTTCAAAAATGCGTCATAATTCCCTTGTTGTCAAAATGCATGCACAAGTAGAAGGTGCAGGGAGCGCGTATCCAAAGGCGGCTGGCGCTGGGGCCGGGGGTTCAAGGTTGTGTGGGGCAGTTTCCTCCGGCCCTACCGGGAGAGGCCGAGGACAGGACGGCCCAGACCACGGAGTTCGCAACTACCACCGTGGGCCCCGGCAGAACCAGTTACTTCAAGGGCCATACAGGCTCGCAGCAGCTAGTGAAGTCTGAGGGGAAACGCTGGGGTGGGGGACGAGCACGGGTACTCACCATAGCGGTTACGTGCAGCTGATACATGCGCCGACGGCCGGCCAAGCACAGGACGCTGGCCCGGAACTGGCGTCATCGGGGGCGGGGCTTGGGAAGACCGACTACAATTCCCAACATGCCCTGCAAACATACGTCACGGGGCGTACCACCACGCCACATCTCGCGGATGGATAATGGGGCGGGAAGCAGAAGTCTCCTTTTCCGTAAATTCTGTTGAGTGCGTCATTCGTTTCCTGCAGACACTCTTACGTCTTTCTTGATGCGGATTCGAACCCTCCACGTATCCTCCAGTAGGGTTCGTTCTTGGAATGGATTCTTCCGTAGCCGGGGTAACGCGCCACAATAAACCCTGAGGCGAGCGGAGCGTGCGGAGCAGCCTCGTAGCGACGTCCAGGGCGGGAAGCGCTCTTGCGGGGCTGGCTCGTGTTCTTGGTTGCTCCTGCAGCAGACTTAGCCCGGGCAGGAGCTGGGACGCTTTGATCTCGCTAGTCGGATTGGGTGCCCTTCACAGAGGTGACTTGGTCCTCGCAGACGTCAGGTGTTGTCCTTTAGATACCTACATACTCTGAACCTCCGTTTCCCTAATGGGACATCATTTTCCTCATCACCTCAGCCAGTTTTCTGTCCCTCCTTCAAACCCTATCCCCCTCCCCACCCCCCCACCCC